TTTCATCAGTAAAGCCCTTACTATTGCAGGCAGAACTTAATAGCTTCCAAATCCAACACGCATTTATATTTTTTTATTACTCAAAGAGCCCTTAAGACCGTTTGGGCCCTCATTAATTCTGGTCACACAGCTGATCTCTGGGAAGTCGGAAAGCTCGCCAGTGACTCCCAAACTTTATTTGGTTAGTCAGCGACTGGATCAAAGTTTGCTCAGAGGTCAGAGGAAACCATTAATCTTTGCCACATGTTGTGTTTTTTTCCCCTTCGCACTTCATCACCTTCGATGTGCCCCTACAAGATGTAAGCCAGACGTTATTAAACACATACACAGCGTCGCTGGAGTACAGCTAGTGGAGCTGCTCGCCGCGTGGTGAAAGGTTGAGGAGCTGTAGACGTGCTTTAAGAGACGGTGTGTTACGAGTTTTAAAGTGCTGAAGGTTTAATGGGAGTGATGTCTCCACTGCGCTCAGTGAGACGTCGACGGAAAGGACACGCTACCTCATCTCTCCGTGTCAAAGCTGTTTAACACGGAGGCAGGGAAAGCATGCAGGGACACGGAATGACTCATATGCAGCTTTTTTTGCTGCATTGATTGTCAGGTTTAGATCTGGAATGAAACAACAGAGAAAAGTTACAGAGTTTATTCTAACGCTGGTGAAGATTCTCAGCCATCCAGGTCATAGTCAGGTCATAGGTCAAAAAAAGAAAATTAAAAACAATCCACTGGACTTTGTTTCCAAGTTTGAAGACATTTCGCTTCCCATCCAGGAAGCTTTTTCAATTCAAAATTTAAATGTGTAAGAAATACTGTTTAGTTGGAGGTTTTATACAGTAGCCCAACAAAGCCTTGTTTTTGTTTTGATCATGCAACACCCCCATACCAAATCTGAGCGGAGCGGTGTCTGCAGTTCAATGCAATGAGGAATGCTCTGATCTTTATATTGGAGAAACCAAACAACCTCTCCACAGACGCATGGTCCAACACAGAAAGAGCGCCCTCCTCTGGACAAGACTCTGGGGTACATCGACACCTTGTGGACAAAGGACATTATTAGGACCAGATAGTTCACATTTTGGACAAAGAAAATAGGTGGTTTGAGAGGGGCGTGAAGGAAGCCATATATGTTAAGAAAGATGGACTCAGATTTCAGCTTTTAAAAACCTACAATCCCGCTATCATCGCAGCCCCAGCCTCTGTACAGGAGAGCGGAGGACCTCGTTTAATTCAGCCAGGCCAATAATTCCTTTAATGACCGACCTTTCAGACACTTAATGGTATGGGGCATTGCAGACTAACAAAAGAAGCCAAGCGACCCCCATCCCCAGGGGGTGGACCCCTTCATCCGTTTCATTTTGAATGTTTTCAAAACAAAAACAAGGCTTTGTAGGGCTATTGTATAAAGCCATGAACTGAACTCTATTCCTGTCATTTTGAATTTAAAAAGCTTCCTGGATGGGAAGCGAAATGTCTTCAAACTTGGAAACAAAGTCCAGTAGATTGTTTTTAATGTTTTTTCTCCCTTATCGCCATTTTTTACATGTTACAACTAAAAAGCTACAGCATATAACATTAAAATTTCACAAAGCTGAATCATGAAAGCTCACAAAGTGAATCGTGTGAGAGATATCAGTGATTATATATATGAAGACCAAGGGACACAGTATACAGGTGCTGGTCATAAAATTAGAATATCATGAAAAAGTAGATTGATTTCAGTAATTCCATTTAAAAAGTGAAACTTGTATATTATATTCATACATTACATACAAACTCATATATTTCAGATGTTTATTTTGTTTAATTTTGATGATTACAAATGACAACAAATGAAAATCTCAAATTCATCATATCAGAAAATTAGAATATTACTGAAGACCAATAAAAACAAAGGATTTATAGAAATGTTGGCCAACTGAAAAGTATGAACATGAAAAGTATGAGCATGTACAGCACTCAGTATTTAGTTGGGCCTCCTTTGGCCTGTATTACTGCAGCAATGCGGCGTGGCATGGAGTCGATCAGTCTGTGGCACTGCTCAGGTGTTATGATAGCCCAGGTTGCTCTAATAGTGGCTTTTAGCTCTTCTGAATTGTTGGGTCTGGTGTATTGCATCTTCTTCTTCACAATACCCCATAGATTTTCTATGGGGTTAAGGTCAGGAGAGTTTGCTGGCCAATTAAGAACAGGGATACCATGGTCCTTCAACCAGGTACTGGTAGCTTTGGCACTGTGTGCAGGTGCCTAGTCCTGTTGGAAAATGAAATCTGCATCTCCAAAAAGTTGGTCAGCTGCAGGAAGCATGAAGTGCTCTAAAACTTCCTGGTATGTGGCTGCGTTGACCCTGGACCTCAGAAAACACAATGGACCAACACCAGCAGATGACATGGCACCCCAAACCATCACTGACTGTGGAAACTTTACACTGGACTTCAAGCAACATGGATGAAGTGCCTCTCTTCTTTTCCTCCAGACTCTGGGACCTTGATTTCCAAAGGAAATGCAAAATTTACTTTCATCAGAGAACATGACTTTGGACCACTCACCAGCAGTCCAGTCCTGTTTCTCTTTAGCCCAGGCAAGACGCTTCTGACGCTGTCTGTGGTTCAAGAGTGGCTTGACACAAGGAATGCGACAGCAGAAACCCATGTCTTTCATACGTCTGTGTGTGGTGGTTCTTGAAGCACTCACTCCAGCTGCAGTCCACTCTTTGTGAATCTCCCCCACATTTTTGAATGGGTTTTGTTTCACAATCCTCTCCAGGGTGCGGTTATCTCTCTTGCTTGTACACTTTTTTCGACCACATCTTTTCCTTCCCTTCGCCTCTCTATTAATGTGCTTGGACACTGAGCTCTGTGAACAGCCAGCCTCTTTAGCGATGACCTTTTGTGTCTTGCCCTCCTTGTGCAAGGTGTCGATGGTCGTCTTTTGGACAACTGTCAAGTCAGCAGTCTTCCCCATGATTGTGTAGCCTATAGAACTAGACTGAAAGACCATTTAAAGGCTTTTGCAGGTGGTTTGAGTTAATTAGCTGATTAGAGTGTGGCACCAGGGGCCATCAATTTTGAACCTTTTCACAATATTCTAATTTTCTGATATGATGAATTTGAGATTTTCATTTGTTGTCATTTGTAATCATCAAAATTAAACAAAATAAACATCTGAAATATATGAGTTTGTATGTAATGTATGAATATAATATACAAGTTTCACTTTTTAAATGGAATTACTGAAATCAATCTACTTTTTCATTATATTCTAATTTTATGACCAGCACCTGTAAAGGTCAGATACTGTTAGGTTAAAAAAATGTAGGTTTGTAAAAGAGAAATTGAGCCTACACAGGAAAGAGATTCAAGCAACTTCTGCAGGAGTGGAAAAAAGCCCAACCCAATTTCAAGCTTTTTTCCCCCGAATCCCCTCCTGCAGCCGTCTTTTATTAACAGAACATAACACATGGTTACAAAACAGTATTTGTTCTGACAGAACAATTGATCAGTTCATAAAGACAGGATGCTCCACCAGAATCACAAGGCAGGGTGGTCTCCTGACTGAATCACAAGACACAGTGGAGCATCCCCTTGCTCAAATGTTTCATAAGCATACATACATTAATTTTATAATCATCATTGAATAAACCTAACAGATACATTGTGCCCATAGGTTACTGTGTGGTAGAAAACTACAAGATAAGTCATTCAGAATGTAATCATCCACCCCACGGTAGAGGCAGCATCATGCTGTGGAGAGGCTTTTCTTTAACAAGAGCAGGGAAGCTAAAGAAAATCTGTCAAAGGATGCAGAAGATTTGGTCGAGTTTTACCTTCAAGCAGATAAAAATCCCTAAACATAAAACTAGGCAGGGGTGGGAAATTCCAGTTTGCAACTTTTAGATCCACCCTTAGTGTAACACACCTGAGTCAAATGGTTGAATTAACTCCTCAGTCAATCCTCCAGATTCTTCACAATCATCGTATTAATTGATTCAGGTGTGTTGAACCAAAGACACATATAAAAGTTGCAGGATACCGGCCCTCGGGAACTGGAATTGCCCACCCATGAACTTAGAGCTACAATAAGCTGAGCTAATTTACAGCATGCCCCCCTTAATGTAAAGCATTCATCTTATTATTGTGCAAAGAGATATTAGGGAATCTTCAGTCCTGACCCTAATAGAAATAGAGAGATTGCCACTATCCCAGGCAAAAAGGTTTTTCTGTACAAACCAGGCTGCATAAATCCCTCTCTGGTGAACTACTTTACCTGAAATAGATTTCACCAGGTGCAGCTGGCATGTACCAGGCTGTATTCCTTAATAAAATAGGGGAAAAAAACACAAACCACTGTTCCCAGTTACTTCTCTAGTCCCCTTTAACCAAAAAAAGTGTCATTGGTTGAAAGTAAATGACTAGACTGCACCTCGCCTGTTTTTATCTCAGCTGATGACGGACCAACCTATCCTTGCATCGCCAGTCACCTGTGTCTCTGCCATCCTGGCGTTAACACTCTGTGACTTTAATGAGGTCTTTCTCTGCACCCGGCCGACCAGCAGCACCTCACCATGTGCGTTTCTACCAGCTCTGCTTTTCTCTTCATTTTTTCCAAAGCCTTTCTCTGAAATTGCCATCGGTCTCCCTGCTATTCTTCACTCTCTCCTCCGCCTGAGTCCATCCCCAGAATCAGACTCCTTTGACATGATGGCTGCAGTTCAGTGAAGCTGCCATCCCCTCTCTTCATCCATCCTCTGATATTCCTTCTGTGGGAAATGATGATCTGTGGCTTCGTGTTCACCGTCTCCATTGGACCTTGAGCATTTCTACTAACAATACAAAATTAGTTGTTTATTAGAAGCCCCAGGAGATTTCTACTGCTAATGTATCTGTTAGTGTTAATGTGGTTTTATTGTCCCCAAAATATCTTCCGGTTCTTTTCACACTCTAGTCATCTTTTATTCAGATTTATTCTGCTAAATTCCATTTTCTCTGTTTGTGTTTTGCCTGCAGCTCCCTGCACAGTCAATACGTTCTTCTGCCACAGCAACATGTGTATCAACAACACCCTGGTGTGCAATGGGGTTCAGAACTGTGTCTATCCATGGGATGAAAATCACTGCAAAGGTGACCATTAGAACTCTGCTTTCTGTTGATGTCTATAGGAGGAGTTTATGTCGACAGTCCTTTAAAAGCATCAGACTCCCTGTCTCTGCATTTTATGTCACTGTCTGTCAGATCATAAAACTAGTTTGATTATAAGACAAAGTAAATCTGAGTGATCGGAGTGAAAAAGCAACATAACCTCCTCATTTAATCAAGAATGAGGTAAGAGTTACAATTTTGAAATCTGAGTTAATGCCTCAGCTGACCTGATAAGGAAAAAAATCCTTTAAACTAAACCCACCTGACAACTTGAAGTTAGCTCATTTAACCTGCTAAAGCAGGGCATACCCTTAAAGATATTTTAAGTTGTTGTACTCGGGTACAACTCAAACTGTACGATGACATTGCAGGGTTTAAAAGTTCACGGAACATTATGTATGTTGTTACACTGTACGGCCCGATGCTCTGATGCGATCTACCTTCTCATACTTTACGTCCAAGGACCACACGTCTGCCTCAGCGCCGAGAGATGGCGCTGATTGGACTGGAAGAAGAATTCCCTTGTTTGTACACATGCACAACGTAAGGTTCTGGTAAATCGGCTCAAAGCTCTGCTTCAACAGCAGGATCTACTCAAGAACACGAGGGCTGACTGAATTTCAAACATGTTGGATTTTCTTCTGCCCTTACGAGTCTTTTTTTTTTCCGGACAGTAGGCGCTAACCACGGCGCGAACAAAGCATGCCCAGCCCTTTAAGACTCTTGATTGGGAGGCTGTGGTTGGAGTCTAATCGCCCCTTGTTACCCCCTGTATACAACACAATGAAGGATGCATGATGAGGCTGAAACTCAGCCCAATCCAAAACATTCTCACACGACTGGAGAATTGGCCCGAAAAGGCCAGAACTCATGCAGTGTATGTCTGGCTTAATAGGCCACACTCACATCACCAAAAACTCTTGCATAATTCGATCATCTTTAACCCTAGGAGAGTCTGGCCTTCCATATAACACCATTGCAGTGGTGGAAAAAACAGTAATAAAAAAATGAATTGAACTTTATTAATCTTAGGTTGGAGATATTTACCTCTGCATTTAACCTCTTAACATCCGCCTCATTTTGGGTAATCCTCGCCTATTTTGCATACCCAAATGGAAAAGGAAATAAGGAACTGTGAGCCCAAATTAAAAGTGCAATACATTATTTGAAAGCTAAAACCCTCTAGTTTCCTAACAAATAAATTAAAATTGGGTGACTAGAACAAAGACCAACCTGCATCAGTTCAAACATGACTCAAAGTTGTTGTTTTTTATTCTCGGAAATGATAGCTCTTTTTTGAACAGCAGTAATAAAGATATTCTTGAGAAAAAGCAGGTTTCATTGTATCATATGTGTTCTACATAATGCCAACCGAAAATGCAGATAATTTCCGACCTCTAGCTATAACAGTTCCAGAGCTGTGGGGTATGGAACTTTTGGGCGCAATGGCTCCACCTGCTGGTAAAAATTTTACCGGTAGAATTTTATGCATTCTGAATTATTACCCCCACTTAAGGTCCACCGGGTCGCCGGCAACCCGGTGGGCTTTAAGAGGTTAACCCATCCCCTTGGGGAGCAGTGGGCTGCCATTGTGGGGTGCCTGGGGAGCAGCGTGGGGTTAAGGGTCTTGCTAAGAGACCCAAAACCTTGGGATTCCAAGCTCTATGCCCTAAGAACTAGGCCAACACTCGCCTATTATGGAAAATAGCCTCATGGAGGCAGCATGAGGATGCAAATTTGGAGGTACCCCATACGTCCCATGAACCGGACAGCCCTAATTAACATGTTAAGAAATTATGAGGAATAAACTTGCTGACTGTCCCTGCAGAAAGGGTTCTTAAGCCATTTCTACAGCTCAGAGGCTTAATCCACAGTGAAAACCGTTTCCCCCCAATGGACAAAGCCTGGAAAGGTGGTGAACATTCCACCAATGCCAGCATGCTGGGTTGTTTTGTGGTCTGGGGACCAGTCCGGGGGGACCAGACCAACATACAGGTGCTGGTCATAAAATTAGAATATCATGAAAAAGTAGATTGATTTCAGTAATTCCATTTAAAAAGTGAAACTTGTATATTATATTCATACATTACATACAAACTCATATATTTCAGATGTTTATTTTGTTTAATTTTGATGATTACAAATGACAACAAATGAAAATCCCAAATTCATCATATCAGAAAATTAGAATATTACTGAAGACCAATAAAAACAAAGGATTTATAGAAATGTTGGCCAACTGAAAAGTATGAACATGAAAAGTATGAGCATGTACAGCACTCAGTATTTAGTTGGGCCTCCTTTGGCCTGTATTACTGCAGCAATGCGGCGTGGCATGGAGTCGATCAGTCTGTGGCACTGCTCAGGTGTTATGATAGCCCAGGTTGCTCTAATAGTGGCTTTTAGCTCTTCTGAATTGTTGGGTCTGGTGTATTGCATCTTCTTCTTCACAATACCCCATAGATTTTCTATGGGGTTAAGGTCAGGAGAGTTTGCTGGCCAATTAAGAACAGGGATACCATGGTCCTTCAACCAGGTACTGGTAACTTTGGCACTGTGTGCAGGTGCCAAGTCCTGTTGGAAAATGAAATCTGCATCTCCAAAAAGTTGGTCAGCTGCAGGAAGCATGAAGTGCTCTAAAACTTCCTGGTATGTGGCTGCGTTGACCCTGGACCTCAGAAAACACAATGGACCAACACCAGCAGATGACATGGCACCCCAAACCATCACTGACTGTGGAAACTTTACACTGGACTTCAAGCAACGTGGATGAAGTGCCTCTCTTCTTTTCCTCCAGACACTGGGACCTTGATTTCCAAAGGAAATGCAAAATTTACTTTCATCAGAGAACATGACTTTGGACCACTCACCAGCAGTCCAGTCCTGTTTCTCTTTAGCCCAGGCAAGACGCTTCTGACGCTGTCTGTGGTTCAAGAGTGGCTTGACACAAGGAATGCGACAGCAGAAACCCATGTCTTTCATACGTCTGTGTGTGGTGGTTCTTGAAGCACTCACTCCAGCTGCAGTCCACTCTTTGTGAATCTCCCCCACATTTTTGAATGGGTTTTGTTTCACAATCCTCTCCAGGGTGCGGTTATCTCTCTTGCTTGTACACTTTTTTCGACCACATCTTTTCCTTCCCTTCGCCTCTCTATTAATGTGCTTGGACACTGAGCTCTGTGAACAGCCAGCCTCTTTAGCGATGACCTTTTGTGTCTTGCCCTCCTTGTGCAAGGTGTCGATGGTCGTCTTTTGGACAACTGTCAAGTCAGCAGTCTTCCCCATGATTGTGTAGCCTATAGAACTAGACTGAAAGACCATTTAAAGGCTTTTGCAGGTGGTTTGAGTTAATTAGCTGATTAGAGTGTGGCACCAGGGGCCATCAATTTTGAACCTTTTCACAATATTCTAATTTTCTGATATGATGAATTTGAGATTTTCATTTGTTGTCATTTGTAATCATCAAAATTAAACAAAATAAACATCTGAAATATATGAGTTTGTATGTAATGTATGAATATAATATACAAGTTTCACTTTTTAAATGGAATTACTGAAATCAATCTACTTTTTCATGATATTCTAATTTTATGACCAGCACCTGTATAGAGTAACACTTGATTCACTCGTTATTTGTTTTTTTTTGTTTTTCATTTACACCTTCCTGACAGTGGCATGCATGGGAGAGATTCAAGGCAAAAACCACCAAAAAGGCCAGAGACCTTTCTCATATTTGCCCAGAAAACAACCTGAATAACTTCTAGGAAAAGATTTTGTCGACCGAAGAGATCAAAATAGATTAAGAAAGAAGAAAAAATAAACAGCATACCAGAAACAACAGCGTCATGCTGAAAGACAGCTTTGATGGTCCTGGATGAATCAATCAATTGAGTCATGAATTCTGCTTTTTTATAAAACAATCCTGCAGGAAGCCGTCCAGCCATCAGGCTGTCTAATTCCGTCAGGCAGCAGGACAATGATCCGAATAACTGGCGCTAACCCACCTCTGGATTGATGGATCAATTGAAGTGAAGTTTTTTGGAGAACCAGGTCAAAGTCTGGGTTACAAACCAATATTTTGCCATGGTTTGACCTTTAAAAGAGACTCTTATGGTACAAAACTCTCCAATGTGACTGAATGAGAGCAGCTCCACAAAGAAGAGTGGGTTATATTTCCTGCACAGGGATAGAAAAGAGTCAATCTCAGCTGTCACAAACATTTAATGGCAGCTTATGCAACCAAACATGGCACACACAGCAATTAACCTTAGAAGGGGGTTACTTTATCGTAAATCTGATAATAAACTATTTTAATTAATAAAAAATCATTAAGGAAAGAAATACCTTCTTACATCACCTAATGTTTTTTATTTTTTATTTTCTCTTGTTTATTGTCTCACCCTCTTACAGAGAAGCGTTCCAAGGGCCTTTTCCATCAGATAACCAAGACCCACGGCACAGTTATCGGCATTTCTTCAGGCATAGTTCTTGTTCTTCTTATCATCTCCGTTTTGGTCCAAATGAAGCAGCCCAGAAAAAAGGTGAGTGATTCTTTAATTTGGCCCTAAATTCGAGTCGTGAAGGTTGCCCTACAGACCCGGAGAGCTAGATAGAAGGCTATAATAAATAGTCCATCCTTGTATTTGACACCAGATGTATTAAAAACAGAACCTCTTAAATTCTACCTTTTTTTTTTTTTTTTTAAAGAGACAGTTCAGATTATTTAAAAGCAAGGTTTGGTGAAGTTATTATGAGTATTCGTCTGCTTTCCTGTGATTAGAAAGATGTCGTCTTGCTGTTAGTTTATAAAACAAAGGTAAAGAAATCCTCAGAGCATTCAAAGACTAACAGTTTTAACTGATTTTAGAAAGATAAAACAAATAAAACTGAAAACGGTCATATCTGTGGGATGTAGAGCTAATGAAAATTTTACATCTTTGCAAAGCCTGTGGGTGGAATTATTGCTGTTTTCTTATTAGTGATAGAATGGAAAGTTTCACTTCTTTAACAGGTTTAATTTAAGTAAAGGTAAAAAGCATTTATTCCATTTAAAAACGCAACATATCAAACAAAGATTATTTGAAGGCATATTTAGACCTTCTTGGTATCAATTTGAGAAGATATTTATGTTGCTGATATATCAGAATAGAAAACTAATCCAAGATGAAGATATGATTCTTCGCATGGGGGTGTTTGGTCTTTCTTCGGGTCCTAGCGCTCCAACCTTAGTGTGACATAACAATACTGCATGTCAGAGTGTTATTCACATCTAGAAGATTTTATATTTGGTTTATTTTATATATATATAAAACAGCAACTTCCTGCTTTAACAAGCTTATTGGAGAATGTATGAGAGAACACATTTTAAAAGGTCCTGCAAACTCCAGAATTAGACTAACACAAAAACATTATAAAAATAACTACATGTATGGAAACATGATGCAAACATCAAACCTGCAGATCTGTCAATGATGCTAACACACAAAAAAGACATGAAAAAATAATAATAATAATAATGCAAGTAGTAAACTTAGCTGCAAGTGAAGAAAAGCTGCAAATTAGCACCGAATAATTATCCCCCCTAGAGGTGCTCCAGACCACTAGGGGGAGACAATGAATACAGTTCAGTTTGTTTCCATAGCGCCAATTCATCACACATCTCAAGGCGCTTTACAGAGACAATTCAACCAGATCAGGCAGTCAGATTAGTTCAAAGTCTTTTATTTAAGGAAAACAAGATGATTGCATTGACTTATTGCCTCAACAGCAATCCCTCAGTCTAAGCATGCTTGTAGCAGCAGTGGAGAGGAAAACTCCCTTTTAACAGGAAGAAACCTCCAGCAGAACCAGGCTCAGTGTGAGCGGCCATCTGTTGATGCTGACTGGGATTCAAGGAGACAGAGAAAAAGAAGAGAGATAGAAAAAAAAAAAAGATGCTAAATGTAACTGTCAACCAGCTCCACAGGCGGCCCTGTCCAGGAAACACACAGCCAGGCAGACGAGCTCTGAGCCAGCTCTCATGTCAGAGGACGAAGAGAGCACATCCAGCCAGTCACAGTCAGAGAAACAGGACTACACTGTAAAAACAGTCAAGCTCCAACATCTATAAACAAATCAGCGTTAGGGAGGCAGTAAATATTTCCTGCTAAATACATGCTGAAAAACAACATTGAAGCTTTAGAAATGTGTTGCATTTATCCCCTTTTTATTTACATTAAACATATTTCAAATATCTGTTTATTTTTCCATTGATACATACATATTAGCTCATATTAACTGTGGACAGGCAGTCAGTGGGCTGAAACTAGCTAAGCAAAGGACATTGAGAAGTTAACCTGAAATGTAAGGACTTTGGGACGGAAATAAAAAAGTTTGACCTGTTTTAGGCGCAGCAATAGAGCAGACCTGACTGAGTTTTTAAAACTATTTTAAAACGCATCTTAAAGTTTTTTTCAGGAGCACTATATTCTCAAAATTGAATTCTATCTGTTTAAAAATTTAGCTGAAATTAAAAGACATTTTCAAGGACTTCAGATGTTTTTTTTAACCTGTATTCTGAATGTGGAATATTATAACATTTTCAGTCTTTATCTTGTATTATAAACCCGGTAATACATATATAACCCTTTTCCTAACATCCCTGTAAAATCTGTATAATCTGTGCATGTGGCTCCCATATTCATATTTATATTTATACAAAACTTTTTACAGTGCCTATTACTTTTTGCTTGTACATACACCTGTAATATTTATATCCTGTATAGCACTTCTGGATAGATGCAAACCACATTTCGTTGCTTTGTACTCGTGATAGTGCAATGACAATAAAGTTGAATTCTAATTCTATTCTATTCTGTTACTGTGAAATGGTTCCATATTTGAAGCCCTAATGGTCTAAATGCTCTTTTTTAGGTTGTAGCTCGGCGACCAGGCGTCTTCAACAAGGCTGGATTCCAGGAGGTCTTCGACCCACCGCACTATGAGGTCTTCTCTCTCCGCGACAAGGAGATGTCCTCAGACTTAGGGGACCTTACCGAGGAGTTGGACAGCTTCCACAAGGTCCGTCGCTCCTCCACCATGTCCCGCTGTGTCCATGAGCACCACTGTGGCTCCCAAGGCTCCGTGGCTACTGCCGGCGGCAGCATGAAGCACAGCAGAACCACCCTGAGCTCAATGGAGCTGTCCTACCACAACGATTTCTCCAAGCCGCCTCCAATGAAGACTTTCAACTCCACCTCCACCTACAAGAAGAGTTGCTATGGCTACAAGCAGCACGCACAGACTCACGACTGCGACCAGCAGGTCATCGAGGACCGCGTCACCGAGGAGATACCATGCGAGATTTACGGCCGTGGCGCGATGGGACTGGGAGGAGGAGCAACTGGTGGAGGAGCGATGGGAGGAGGCGGCGCATCAGGAATTGCTGGAGGAGGGATGGGAGGAGCAGTGGGGATCACTGGAGGAGTGTCCATGGCCGGCATGATGGGGGGAGTGAGCATGGCAGGGCCCAGCGGGATAGCTGGAGGTATCGGTCCTGGGATGGCAGGTGCCTGTGGAACCCTCAGCGTCCGGGGCAACAGCGCCCGTAACAGCACCACCATAGTTGACCCACAGCAGCGCTCCATATCCATGGATTTCTAGAAGCAGAAAGGCAAAGCATAGAAGCAGACCTTGCATTTCCTAGAAGGAATGATGAGAAAACAGAAGGACAAAAATCTTGTGTCCCCAACCACCCCTGCTTCCCCCTACACCTCTCGTCTTTAAGTAACCTTTCGTTTGTTGGCGTCATCACTCGAGGACCTCCCTCAAACTCACAAAGAGCCTTTAGATCAACCTGGGTAACATGAAAATAGACCAAACAACTCATTTTTTGATACTGGGCGGGGCTTCAAGTGGAGACGGCATAAAGGCGTCCTGTCTCTCCACTTGTTTTACACTCATTTAATCTCTAACTTCCATTGTTGGAAAACGTCCTCGCATGAAGAGCCAAACCTCTCTCCGTTTGGGTGCTTGGTAGCTCCGGAGACGTGGGACAGAACCGAGACACGCTACTGACTGTCGCATTCGTTCACCTTCCATTGCACAAATATACGATATATGATCTATAATGCATCTTCTAATAATTTATATCCTTTACATTTGTCTTTTTGGTCAGTGTGTACTGTACTGTTAAAACCAGACTATATCCAGCCTCATGGTGATGCTCGGCTTCTTACGTTTTTTTTTTTTTTTTTTTCATATGTTCAATTATTGTTCCAGTGATTTTCTAGAGGTGGACAGTCAACGGCGGAAAAATAATTGATTAAATATAATGATTGCAATGTTATATCACAATAATGGCGTAGTTTCCATGGCAACCACATACACACATAAGGGGGTGCACGTCACCTTCTTCTCAGGACCTGAAGAGACTGTGATGTATGGGTAAGAAATGGATTAATAGTGGTGGAATATGAGGGTTTTATCTGTGGATATCCAGGTCAGAAAAGCAACAATCCCAAACCCTTCATCTTTAATGGAAGAAAATTATTATTTTTTCTCTCTCTCCACGACCTGAGTGTGTAAAACAAGCACAAGCTTTTCTCTCTGAGTGACAGATGTAGCCTGTATTAGACTCATTCTTTGATTTTAACCACTGGTTGTATTATTTCATTCTCTTCGATTAAATGAGAGCTTACTTACTCACATCCTTGAGCAGGTCTTTTATTTTTCACTGTAAACAGGAAACATAAAGACAAAGCACAGCCTTTGTGTTGGAAATGTCTCATCAAGGTAAAACTCACACCGTGATAAGAAGAAAAAAACAGCCTACGCAGTTTTTTTTTTTAACATTATGCTGTGGTGGATATTAAAATGCAAAGGTGCTCCTGGGATAATCTATTGCGCTCAATTGTTTGAGGCTGGTTGAATGCTTGGGATTCAAGGCTGACAAAATCCAGTTCCACTTATGAGCAAAATAAATTGAGATAGCGCACATCCTCTCGACTGTCACACGTTTGAATGAATCCTCGCAGCATCTCTCCACTTTGTCTCTCCCTTGCATGCAAACGCCCCCCCATCACCCTTCCCTGTGCTGTCATGATGTATTTGTCCCAGGCTGAAGCTCGGGGCACCCTTTAAAAACATGTGACCTTCAAACATGGCCCCTCTGACTCTGGTGATGTGGTCTTCTGCCTCTCAGAAATCTCTGCCTGACATCACTATCTCATAGCATCATATCATGGTTCGATGATGGATATTAGTGAGGTGCATCTTTCACATGTTAAAGGCTGATTTTTAAGAGAATATACATGAACATACACACATCTCTGCAGGATCAAAGTAAAGAGGAGTCCAGTTTAACCAGCTGTTTATCACCAGTTTACATGGTTTCCTGGTGATTCCGTAGATTAAATGGTTAAATGTATGTTCTTGTGTGTTTTTTTCACATTTCCAAAAGAGTGCTCTAACAGTGGGGGGGAGAAAAACACACTACATGAAATAAAAATGGTATTGTGGTGCAACAGCACCACCTGGAGGCAAACATAAACATCTGGAGGAAGGGAAGTAAAAGTTTTTTTTTTCTTAACTGCTCTCAAATGAGGGAAATAACATCTCTAAAAGATGAAAGATAACTTCAGAAGTGACTGTCCAAGAAACTCTTTTTTTTATTTATCTCTAGGGAACCCAGATCATTATGCTTTTCATAGCAAATTTAAAGACGAGGTTTATTTCATGTTGTTATAACAAATCTCCTTTATAAAAATGGGTGGGTGATATAAGCTACCTGTCGGATTTTTTGATCATTATGATGAGAAGTCTAGTTGTTAAAAAAAAAAAAGAAAAGAAGGGGGATGGTAGATGCCCACATAGGCTAATTAATGTGGTCTATTAACCTAAAGCAATTTGCGTGGTATGGTTGTTACATGTCAGGTACTCCGGTCATTGACCTTGACCAAGGCACCTTACAGTAGAACAGTAGTCAGTCCCCGGACTGGCATGGCTATCACTGCCCCTACATAGTTAGCATGGTTAGCACTGCCCCTACATAGTTAGCATGGCTAGCACTGCCCCTACATAGTTAGGGACAAATGTAGAGGACAAATTTCTCACTGAGACTAACAGATTCTGCAGAGTTGGAGAATAAAGAAAGAATGATGTAGAATGATGAAAAAGGGGTCCCTATGTCCTCCAGCAGTCTAAGCCTATAGCAGCATAACCATAGAGATAGCTCAGGATAACCTGAGCCACTCTGACTATAAGTTTTATCAAACATTTCTTTGATTTAATTTATTTTGCTCAGGCTACTCGTTAGCTCAAAGCCCGCCATATTTTTAAATGGAAATAGTATTGTCATTACTGTTAATATATAGTAGAAATGTTACACATTCAGTGATAAAATGTCACAGGGGATGGTATGGACGATGGTCAATTAAGAATGGGGATGATTTTTCTGATGTTTTTAAGAAGAGAGATACCACCCCCTCTCATCCCCCCTCAACTTGACTACTGATTATGCTGCCAAACAATCTATCCATCCAAAGATGATCATTAAAGCAGATCATCTGGTCAGATTAATCCAAAGATTTATATCTTATGAAAACCACCTGAATGCTTCCAGTTATTGAGTCTGCAGGATTTGCTCCTCCTGGAAGAGCATGTGATGATGGGATATTTAAATTGGAATTTGCTCATTGACTACAACAATATCTTACAATGAGCATGCATTCAGCGAGAGTGGAGACGAAAATCCCCTTTAAACAGGATGAAACATCAAACAGAACTAGCAAGTGTTGGCATCGTAGATGCGGTACGACCGATACACCCACACTAATTCAGAGCGGGACCAAATGTACTCTTAAGTGTTACTTTAACACTGCAACATTTACTGTGTAGCAAGTTCAAGGATATACGCAGATATACAAAAGGAACATAGAAACACAGATCTAATACTTTCTATCTAGAGTTAAGCTAGCTCCATAGGTGGTGATGAATTTTAACTCCTTTCAAAGGTTCTTTTCCCCCTCTGGGTCTCCTCTATGTGGAATCTGTGTAAAACAGCAGGGAAGTCAAACTACTAGAGCACCTGTATCCAATGACCTTTTGATATCTCCCTGGTTCAACACACCTGTATTAAACAGCCTCATTACTTCTTTAATTTTAGTCAAGTTCTCCAGAGTCCTAATTATTTGATTCAGGTTTGTTAAAGTGTTCCTTGAGTGCTGGATTCTGATATCCCTGATTTAAAGGGCAGCGCCTATCAGACACCTGAACCATCTCAGCTGTCTCATCTGGATGCAGAGGATCAGAGGGCAAAGCTCTCCCCTCTATATGTCAAAGGTAGGGTCCATGTTTTATTTATTGGTCTGTTCTTCACAGATGATCCATGTCTCATGACCAGAGATGAGGGCTGAAACACGGACCTACTGATAAATTAAGAATTAGTTTAGCTCTTCCTTTACCATTACAGACCTCAGCAGCATCTGCTAACCTGACTCCGCCAGATGGATTTGCTCCTCATATCCATCTGGAAACCTTCCGTTGAAGTAATTTTGGGAAGGGGCGAAAATACTGGTTAGCTGATTGGCCTATGTTGATGATAGACGGGCCAAATAAACCAATCAGATCAACGAAGCATATGACATACTAACAGCGACGACGAAAACACAACCACAAGCCAGGCTACTCTTGCCGAAACCAGTCGGGAGAAGAGCAAAAACATCTTTTCCTCTGAGAAAAGCCTCCAGAGCAGTGTTTTGCTCTTCTTTCAGTGAAGAAATACTCTGTAATTCCGATAAAACTTGCTCCATAGCCACGCTAACGCTAGTTTCATTGGCTGAAGCCGCCATGTTCTTTAGACTGAACTGTCGCGCTTCTCGTTGCGTCACACCTCAACCCGCCTCAAAGCCAACGCTGATTGGACGTTCGTTTGGTGAACGGCTCCAAATTTTCTTTAACGGAAAGTGTCCAGACTGATTAGCGAGTGAAATCTTGAAAGGTTGCAAGATCAGGATGGTCTCACGAGGCTAGCATCTGCAGGAGGAGCTCCAAACCCTGCATCTTATTTTAGCGTAATCCTGCTCTAACTAAAACACTCATGGGAACGGTGACCACAGATGAAGAGCAATGGGCTGATCCTAATCAGAGTGGACTGGTGCACTCTCTCTGAGCCTGGTTTTGTTGGAGCGCCCCATTGCTCACTGTCAGCCGCTCACATCTTAGCTCCTGGGGCTCAGTCAATAAGCACAGAGCCAGGTGGTAGGAATAGTTGGTGGTGCTGATGTCTAGCATCATATACTAGACATGGAGTTTTAATGCTGGCATCCCTTCCACGTGTTCAGAGGTGAGACTGGAATCTGAGATGACCCCAGGTTTTTGTAACCTGTGCATGGTTCCACTGAGCTTTCAAATAAAAAAAAAATTGGATGAATAAAAACATTTCATCGTCATATTTTTTTTAAATGTCTGTCTTGTATTTTTATGGGGAACCCAGTAATTTAAGCCGACACAGTATGACAGTTTAAAACTTTATTGAAAAGGGTGAGGGTGTTGCAGAGAAGGTGCAGGCAGGTCCTGGAAACAAGGGGGGCTGTCTGATGCTGTCCAGAAGGTCAGACGTGGCCTGCAACAGTCCTGACCATTATAGCCAGAAGCTGCTGTCTTTCAAATAAGACTTACCGGTAATGGCAGGAACAGGTGAGTAACAAACTTCTGGGTCCACAAACAAGCGGACTGATTAGTTTACATTCTGACAGGAAGTGTTCTTCTTCTTGATTTTTAATGGCAGTTGGCAAGCAACAGTTTGTTCAGGCAACAGTTCACGTTTTCCAATTATATGTAATATTGAGTTAGGTCCCATGTGCCCTGATCTTAATCTAGTTATTTGACAGCAGGTGGAGTGGGAGTGAGGTATATACAGGGAGGGAAACGGGTGGAAAGCCTTGCAGATAGTTAGTTGCAACAGCCTGAGCTAGCTATGGTGCTAAATGGTGGCTGGAAGGGACTAAAGAAAATGCACCATGGAGTGGGAGTAATTAGTCCAAACAGAACAATAACAAAAGCATGATAGTATCAGACAAAGTCTTTGGAAATGTGAAAAGATATTCCTTAAGCATTGGGGAGCCACTGATAGTTTTACTTATTTAGCTGAACAGCACTGCTTCTGGGTATTAATTCTGCCTGGGGGTTCCTGTGTGAGGTTTGCATGTTATTTCTTTGCATGCAATGGAAACATATAAGAACTCTATCTTTATTACATCATTTAAAAACATGCACAATAGACTATATCCTCCTTTTTACCATGCTCTCGGTTGTGAATTTGCGCAACTTGTTTGATTTTCCCGTAAGCCTCTGCATTGCAATGGATTGGCATTCCTGCCCAGTGACTGTTGGAGATAAGCATCAGCTATCCCACAACCCTGCAAAGATAAGTGGATATAGTCAATGGCTTGAAGGACATTATAACCTCAAAACTAGATGAGGAAAGAAAAAAGTATGATTAAAATTATTCTCAAGCCTGATTAAGATGAGTGCCTCAAAAATATCCTTGAAAAATAAATCAGACACAAGAAGGATTTTACTTTCTTTGGAAATGAGAATGTTAAAATGCAATGATACATATAAAACTAGTCTATTAGGAATGAGTATATTAGATATGTTGCATATTTACAAAGAAGATCCACAATAAAATGTGACAGTGCATCAGGGT